GTGTCAAAGTAAAGCGCCCGTGTGCTGCGCACAATTTGATGATTCAATGCTCGTGTGCCCGTGTGGCGGCCAACAACGAACACGTAACGAACGCAAGCAGATAACCATCCGGGCAGAGCAGAATTATTCATGTGTTTGATCTGTTGCTGCTGGGCCACAAGCGGAACACGTGCCGAGGGTCCTGGGCGCTGCAATCGTGCAAGACCGCTCGCTGGGACTAAACCCTTACGGCTCCGCTGCTCCGGGTGCAGGACGGCAGGACGCGTCCAACGCTCAGGAAGAGGGCTGATCCATCGAGCTTCGGGCGCTCTCACTCTCGGCCGCCAGGGCCAGGAAGTGCTCCATGTAGCTCTCCTGTGCTGGACGGGGCTAAGAACAAAACAGGATCAGACGTCGCCCAATCAAAACTTGAAGCGGCACTCTCCTTTCCTGTCTTTGCCCCTCCTCCTTTCCATCTTCTTCCGTTCCCCCCCTCTCCTTCTCTCTTCTCCTCTTCCCAGCTCCTTCCGCCAAGGCGTCCCACAGGGAATGTCCTTCGCAAATCTTGTGGGCCACATTTCGGACGAACATCCCGCTGTGGCAATGCGATCCAAAGGGCAACCCCAAGATAGCCGGAATAGGGAAAGGGTTGGCAAACAAATCTTTGTGCCTTGTGTTGCCCTACTGTGCCCCCGCAATGCTGATTCAACCTCGCATTTTACGGCCCCACATCACGCCCCTCCCTCTCCCATCTTAGGCACAATCACCGGAACCGTTTGTTAGTCTTTCCAGGTTGACTCGATCCTAAAAGATGAAGTTCACTTGTCAAGATTGAAACCGTCAACTCCACCGCTCGTGCAAATATCCCACACATGTTCCCGCAACTTGTTGGCAAAGCCCAACTGGTCGGCGACAACGACGCTGATGATTACGCTGGTGATGTTGGTGACCACGGTGAAAACGATGACGGCGACAACGACGATGGTGATGGTGATGGAGCAGATGGTGATGATAACGACGAGGCAGCGATTACGCTGGCGATGATGAAGACTATGGTTCTGGTGATGATGGTGCTGAGATGCCCGTGAGCAGAAACTTGACGTTGGCAGCGACATCGACGACGACAGCGATGACGGAGGCGGTGATGATCCCGGCGACGGTGATGCTGATGCTGAACATGGTGATGATGACGCTGATGGTGATGGGGACAGTGATGGTGATGGTGTCAGTCAGCCAGTCAGTCAAGCCTGGCGCTCAAACGGCGCACTGGCAAATAAAAAGCTATGGACGGGACGCTCGTGCATGGAAGCGAGGAGGAATGGGACAGGAGGATGGTGGATAAAGTGGGGGAGGGAAAGACAAGCTAAAGCCAACGGTCGTCGCATTGGTTGCGAACGCTTACAGACTATAACTGCTTAGGCCTCCCACGTCTCTGGCGGTGATGGTGATGGTGCTGGTGATGATGATGATAGTGATGGTGATGGTGATGGTGATGGTGATGATGATGATGATGATGATGATGATGATGATGATGATGATGATGATGATAAGGATAATGATGATTATGATGGTAGCGATTGTGCTGGAGAGAATGACGAGAAAGTGCGCGCCCTCAAACGTTCGAACATCCTGTTGTTGTTGTTGTGGTTGTTGTTAATATTTTCGTTGTTGTTGTCTAGAAGAAGCATGAGGCTTTCATTAGTTTTTGGACACCTCTGTGCTGAAACGGCTGGGGATCGAATGGTTTTGTAACGATTTCGACGTGCGCGCGCGGCGGCGCACGCGTGCGGCTGGCATTATACTGTTTGACTGACAGTGTTGGTGTGCGCGGGATGGTGGTTGGGCGTTTTCGACATGCGCGCGCAAGCGGCCCGCATGGTCTCATGTGACAGGACGGCTATTCACTTCTTCTTGTTTGGAGATTTCGGCAAATGTGTGCGCAGAAATCTGGCAACCTTTTGCTGCTGAACAACCAACACGGGTTGAATCCGATTTTGACCAGCCATGTCTTAATTTAGTAAGCGAACTCTGGCTTTCGAACAATTTCGATGCGTGGGGCGCGGCGGCGCGCGCATGTGGCACGGAATGCATATGTTAGCGACGGGTTATTAGCAACAACGCATGATGGTGGGGTCGCTACCAGGATGACCCAGGATGATATGATTTCGCATGGAAAATGAACAATCTAACATAACCACATGAACATTGCAATACGAAGGAGCGAACGGACAACCCTGGCCTCGAGGGGGGGGAGTCTACTACGTCAATAGGAAGGAGAATCAAACTAGAATGTGAACAACTTGCTCATTATTGCCCAATTGTCTGCCTCGTCCCTCCCGCCTTCTACCGCGTCGTCCTCGTCTTCGTGATCTCCCTCCTCAGCCCTTTTCCTTTTCTGTTTTATACTTTGTTTATTCATTCTCTCTCCTTCTCCCCTATTCCTTACTCCCTCCCTTCCCCTCCTTCCCTCGTCCTCGTGCTCGTCTGCCTCCTCAACCTCTATTTGTTCCGCCGCCCTTCTATTCCGTTTCCTGTTCTTTCTCCTACTCCTTCCTTCCTTTCCTCCTCCTCCGTCTCCCGTCATTTGGGATTGCAGTGCAATGAAAGGCAACGCGCTGCAAAACAAAGAGATGCAATGCGGCGCAACGCATGCACTCCAACATCATGCGCAATATCACCATACTATGCAGTGCAGCAGGTGCGAAACAATGTGTTTGAATGCAACGCAATACGAAACGACAAATGGCAAAACACACCGTCGCAAAACTAAGCACATCGCGATGGCCATTGGCCATGCTGACACAACATGTGTACGAGAGAGCGCGCCCACAATGACAGAGCATAGGGGGGGGTCCCCCCTTAGCTACCCCCCCTCCCTTGAACCCCCCCTGCTGGAAGCTACCCCCCCCTCCTTGTTTCGTCCGCCCCTGGAAGCTACCCCCCCCCTCCCCCCCTTTCGCCGGTTGGAAGCTACCCCCCCTCCCCCCCTTTCCAAAGGGGGGGGGCCTTAGCTACCCCCCCACCCCCTTTGGCCCCCCTCTGCCAGAAGCCCTCCCCCCCCTCCACCTCTTTTTTGTGCCCCCCCCCGGAAACTACCGCCCCCTTCCTCCCCTTTTGCCGCTCCGGAAGCTCCCCCCCCCTCCCCCACTTTCCAAAGGGGGGAGAGCTTAGCTATCCCCCGCCACTTTGAACCCCCCCCTTTGAACCCCCCCTGCTGGAAGCTACCACCCCCTCCCTTGAACTCCCCCTGCCGGACGACCCTCCCCCGTCGCCGTCGTCGTTGCCGTCGCCGTCGCTCGACGTCTTCATACGACGCCGTCGTCGTCCTCGTCGTCGTTGTCGCCGCCGTCGCCGTCATTGTCGCCGTCTTCGCATGACCTCGTCGTGGTCGTCACGACGAGGACGAGGTCATACGAAGACGGCGACGGACGACGGACGACGGACGACGCGCGACCGACGACGACGACGACCCAGGGTCAGAGAAAACGAGACCACGACCCACGGCCTGAGAAAACGAGGAAACGAAGCAGGGCCCGAGAAAACGAGACCACGGCTCAGGGGCCGAGAAAACGAGAAAAACGAACCAGAATCCAACAAAACGAACCAGGGTCCGAGAAAATGCGACCACGACCCAGGGGCCGAGAAAACGCGAAAACGAACCAGGGTCCGATAAAACCAAACCACGACCCAGGGGCCGACAAAACGAGACAACGAGAAAACAAACCAGTGCCCGAGAAAACGAAACCACGACCCAGGGGTCGAGAAAACGAGACAACGAGAAAACGAACCAGGACACGAAAGCGAGATCACAACCCAAGGGCCGAGAAAACGAGAAAAACGAGAAAACGAACCACGGCCCGAGAAAACAAAACAAAAACCCAGAACCCAAGAAAACGAGACAATGAACCAGGGTCAGAGAAAACACGATAACGACCCAGGGCCGAGAACACGAGAACACAATAAAACAAACCAAGGTCCGAGCAAACGAGACCACGACCCAGGCCGAGAAAACGCGAATATCGGTCCTAGAAAACACGACCACGACCCAGGGGCCGAGAAAACGAGAAAACGAAACAAGGAATCAGGGCCCGAGAAAACGAGACTATGAACCAGGGGCCGAGAAAACGAGGCAACGAGAAAACAAACCAGTGTCCGAGAAAACGAAACTGCGACCGAGGGCCCGAGAAAACGAGAAAAAGAGAAAACGAACCAGGGTCCGAGAAAACTGGACCACGATCCAGGCGCCGAGGAAACAAGAAACGAGAACACGAACCAGGGCCAGAGAAGACGAGACCACGACCCAGGGGCAGAGAAAACGAGAAAACAAGAAAACAAACCATGGCCCGAGAAAACCAAACCACGACCCAGTGGAGCAGGAGCATGCCGGGTGGGAGCAGGATCATAGGGGAGGGCAAAAGCGGGTGGGCATGCCACGCTCGCCTCCTGAACAAACGATTTGTTTGATCCCCGAACGAACCCGACCCCCGGACCCCTCCCAAGCTCCAAACTGACTCTTCCTTCGAGACGGGCACGAGCTGGGGATCCCCCCGATTGGCCGAAGGCCCGCGCACCAGCGAACGCCCCAGCGAAAAGTCGCCCTGAGGCGTCGGCGATGGCAAGCTCGGGCAGGTCTGGGAAGGCCAGCGTTGACCTCTCATGGGCTCTCAACCTTCCCGTCCGCGCCAGCTTCGCCAGCGAAAACCGGGGCGGCACCCGCCCTCGCTCTTCTTGCGCGGGCCGTCGCCGAGGGCGCCAGGTCTGCCCTTTGAAGCCCTCGAACTGGCTCGGCACAGGCCAGAAGCGCGCCCGTCGGGTCGGATCGAAACTGGGATCCTAGAGTCGGATCGGCCAGGGATCGGAGCTCCAGACTTGGGTAGACCTCCCGGGGGCCCAGGGACCCAGCCCATGGCCTGGCCACATCTGGTGCTAGTGTATCGTTGGCGCCTCTCGGGAACTGGAAGCGGCGCCGCATGACTTATGAACCCGCTGGCCGAGGAGACTGAGGGCGCTCTCATTTTTTTCAGCGCGGACGCAAGCCGAGGTTGAATGAGCAGTGCTCGACGTGTGGCAACCTGTTCGACGAAGCGCCACGCAACCATCAAAATCAAGGACATCCGCCGATCCCTTGGGATCACTGGCGTGTGAAAGTGTTCCCCTCTTACCCCCTCTCCCTGGCAGGGGGGGCCAGCTGGCCCCCAAACGCGGCTAGCGAACAGTTCCCGTTTGACCATGAGCCTCAGTTGTAAAACTTGCAATCGACGACAAGGGGGATGTAAGTTTCCCCGATTGCCCATTTGAAGGCCAACCCCGAACCGCCAACCGCTCCAAGAAAGCCCAGCAGGCCCACGAGATCGCCCCGGGACAGCCCAACAAGCTCCCCCCAAAAGCAGCAAGACGGCGCAGATGTGCCCCAGGACAGCCCACCCGTGAGGCCCCCATGACATGCTCCCCCCCCATTTTTCTTTGGGGGGGGGGAGGGAGAAGATGGGAGCGGACCGCATGATTCAAGAACCGCCGTCGAGACGCGAAAGCCGGTTGTCGTTTCTTGCGTCCGTTTCCACACGCTCGGTGAGGAAGGATCCCCCCCCATTATTTTGGACGCCCGAAATGGGTACGGAAAGAATGGGCACAATGCCAAGCAACAAATGTTGTCCCAAACCAACAGCGGCCGCTGTTGAGCAGGCGGCCTTCTGTCCCAGACGGACACAGGCCGCGGCGGCGCGGACAGCGAGTCCTGCTCAGAATGAACAGGAACTGCTGTTGGGCATTGTACCCATTCTTTCCGTGCCCATTTCGTTCGTGCAGAATTATCCACTCCCGCTTCGCCTCCTCCCCATCCATGCTGCTCCTTCCTCCTCCTTGCTCCCTCCTCGTTCCTCCTCTCCGGCCTGCTCGCCGCTCTGCCGCGCCTCCCCCCTCAAAGTCGACAACGCCTACGACGACGACGACGGCGACGCCGACGACGACGTCGACGACGTCGACGACGACGATCACGACGTCGACGACGACGAGGAGACGAACTCCGAGAACGTCGGGCCGCCCAGGGGCGTCCACGGACAATGCCGGCCCCCCTCCCGCTCTTCGCAGTCTTCCGCGAACGCACGCAGCTAGCAGAATCGAATGGATTTCGACCTGTTGACATCGCGACCGTGCGCGATTCTGTGGGGTCGGCGGCAGAGGCGGCAGCCTTCATACACAGCAGGGCAGCATACGCTGTACACAACAGCGGCCGTCCTGCATGCACATCCCCCTGGAGAGGCCCGAACGGCAAAACATACGAAGTTCGAATTGCAAAGCCACGCCAAAACGTCGAGACGGTTCCACGCCCTTTCCGAGTCCGATCGTTCCCTTGCGATCGGCCTTACAGAGTGAGAGGAAGGAATTGGGACCTGACGATGCCACTCCTCACTCCTACGCCCAGCCCGGCTGGCCGCACGGCGTCGCCAGTCGCCCGTACGCCCATGGAGGCCACCACGGCCCGCGCGAGCAGCGACCAGAGAGAGAGAGAGAGAGAGAGAGAAAGAGAGACAGGGAGAGACAGAGAAAGAGAGAGAGAGAGAGAGAGCGAGAGAGAGAGGAACAAAACAAGCAGACACCTTTCGGGGCATATGGTGACTTCGCACGCCGCGATGGCGCCCTAGGACCGACATAGCTGCCGCGAATTCTGGGCCTCCAGCCCGCCACATCGTACCAGAGCTTCGCAGCTCTGGGATTCGATATGACCCAGAGAGGCTATCACCGAAGCCAGAGTTTGCCAAAACCCGAACGGTGTCCTGGTGGGTGCGGGTTCGTTTGAAAGAAGCGGTCGAGTTCGGAGGAGGAGGAGGAACAGCAATGGCCTGGGCAGCAACAGACGGGCGGCCCTCAAGATCAGCCCAAAGAGCTGTCAACGCCCGCGAAGATCTGAACCCCGTACCCTTGCACTCGTAGCCGCTGCTGTGTGCACCCGCATGCAGGACGACGTCGCAGCACAGCAGCTCGAGGGAGTGCCAGAGGAAACCGCCACAGAGACAGCACCGCCACGGAGAGGAGCAGGAGGAGGAGGCGGAGGCGGTGGACGGCCGCAACTCTCACTCCTCCTCGGGCAGCTGCGCCCAGCCCAGCCGGCCGCACGCCGTCGCCGTCGCCCGCACGCCCGTGGAGGCCGCCACGGCGCGCGCGAGCAGCGACCACGAGCCGCTCGGCGAGAGCTGCTTCGGCGGCAGCGCGAGGCCGGACCCCGAGGCCCTGCTGTCGAAATCGACGACGACCCGCTCCGGGTCCTTTCGCGACGGGCCCCGGACGGTACCGGCGTCGCCCACGTTCAGGGACAAGCCCGGCAGCGTGAAGTTCATGCCCGCTACGACCCGCTCGCCCACGTAGTAGCCTCCGGGAAGCTTTTCCTCGACCAAGAACATCCACGCCCGCATGAGCGCGTGCGACCCTCCAGGCGTGCTCTTCACGTAGAACAGGCTGCCGCTGACATCGGCGCCGGCAGCCATCGCATCACACCGTGCGGACTGCCTCGGGGCGAAGACGACATCGTGGCCACGACTGACCCCTGTGAACGCTGCTACAGGGTCCTTCTGGAACTCGACCCCGGGCTCCGCGAAGAGGATGCCGCCAGCCGCACCGCTGAAGACGGCCGTAGTAAGCAAGGCGATCTTGGCCCTCTGGTCGTCGAGTACCCGGGGCAACTCAACGCACGCGGAATTGCTGACCGCGCGCGTGATCCTCGTGCAGCCCTGCGCGCGGGTCACCACGACGGCCCTCGCGGACGGGTCGGCCGACAACAAGCTGGCCAGCGTCATGACGGCCTTGTCGATGTCGGCTAGGTCGGCAATGGTGAGCACGACAGAAACGTTCAGGGCCCTCCCTGACGCCTCGAGGATGCTACCCCTGAGCGCGGCAACCTCGTCGCTACTCAGCGCATCGAAGAAGGCTGGGTTCATGGTGTCGCAGCTGAAGGTCCTGAACAGCTTCGTGACAGGACCGTCCTCGGTGGCCTCGTCGTAGCACTTGTGGTAGCCGCCCTTGTCGGTCAAGTTGTAAGACTGCTTGCGATAGCAAGGGATCCCGCTCTCCGTCATGGTCCCAAGGGCGTACCTGAAGCTGGTCGGCCTGATACTGACACCCTCCCAACATCGCCAGCTTGAACAAGAACTCCTCGGAATTGCGGCTGTCCCTGAGCGCGTCGTGGGGCACCCGCTTCCAGGCCTGGTAGGGGGCCCCCATCCGATCAACGGCGTCCCGACCCAGGTGGAGCACCTTGTCGTTGATGCCATGTGCCTCCAAGCAGGGGGTACACCTCAGCGTGGAGGGGTGAGCCTCGAAAGCCGTCGTGTCGAATATGTACGGGGTCAACCAATAATTGTCGTCGCGCACGATCAGCACCGAATTATACCGGAAGCCGTGCGCCAGCTCCGCCTCCTTCGCCCTGTTCAGGAGCCCCTCAATGGTACGCCACTTTCTCAGAACGTTCTGGCCCGTTGCGGTCGAGATTGGATTGTAGTAGGACATGACGCTCCGGTGCTCCTGGTCGTCGGGCAGCTCGAGCGGCTCCTCCGTCTCCTCCTCCGTCATACACCTGCCCGCGCCCGCGTCGAGGGACCACTCGCAGAGCCGCCTGAACAGCTCCTTGTTGGAGACGTTCGTGGCGCGCAGCCTGGTCATTCTTGGGTCCTTCACGTACTTCTGCGACGCAGCCTCTGCAACCAGCCATTTGCTCTCTCCCTTGTTGGACGCGTAGTTCTGCCCGTCCATCTGCGGCCTCATCCCAAAGAAGATGTCCACCGGGGTGCCCGCGTCAACGTTGGCGCGCACGAGGTTCTCCAGCAGCGGGATCACGAGCAGCCGGTCCAGCATGCCGGACACCAGGATCGCCACTGGAGCAGAGCTCGCTGGCGCCGCTGCCGAGCGCCCAGGCGGCTCGGCCGCCAGCGCCTCGCAGGTGGCGGCGAAGAGCGCCGCCGCCGTCGCCGCCAGCAGCGGCAGCGGTGCGCGCGCCGGTGGCGCCATGCTGGGGCTGGGGCAGTGGACGCCCAGGCGGGGCAGCGGCAACGATATGTAAATACGATAGCTCGCGGGGGCTTGGTTGGAAAGGTCCTCAAGCCGAAGAGGCGGAAACTCCCTAAGAACGCCAAAGACCCCAAGAGAACACATGAATTGTGCGTCCTGCGGTTGTTTGTGCGCCGTCTGGGAACCCTCTTGCAACGTCTGGGGGGCGGTTTGGGCTGTCTGGGAGCCTTCGTGGAGCACCCTTGGAGCGCGGTGGCCTGTCAGGAGGCGACCGCGGTCGTCTGGGAGAGATTTTCCAGCGACTCGGGCGCAGCTTGGTGCCTGTTTTGGGCTGTCCTGGAGCTGTCTTGGGGCGGCATTGGGGCCTTTTGGGTGCTCTGGGCGCCCCTGGGGGGAGTTCCTGAAACTGCCCGAGCGCCTTTTGGGTACTCTGGCCGCCCCTGGGGGGAGTTCCTCGTGGTGGTGCTTCTGGGGCTCGGTTGGAGCGTCGGCAAACCGAAAAGACGGGAAACCCTCCGAAACGTCAAAAGCTCGTGGAAAACATATGATTTGTGCCTTTTGGCCTTCTTGGGGGCCGTCTGCGAACCCTCTTTGCGCGTCTGGGAAGCATTTTGAGCCGTCTGGAAGCCTTCGTGGAACGCCTCGTGAGCGCGGTGGGCCATCTGGAGACGACCGCGGGCGTCTGGGAGTGATTTTCCGGCGACTCGGGGGCGACTCGGTGTCTTTTTAGGGTATCCTGGAAGTGTCTTGGGGCGCCATTGGGGCCTCTTGGGAGCTCGGGGCGGCCCTGGGGGGAGCCTCTGAAACCGTCTTGAAGCGCGTAATGGTGCTTCTGGGGCTGGGTTGGAGCGTCGGCAAACCGACAAGGCGGAAATTCTCCGAAACGTCTAAAACCAGTGGAACACGAACAACTTGTTCCTCTTGGGGCCGTCTTGGGGGCCGTCTGCGAACCCTCATTGAGCGTCCAGGGGGCGTTTTGAGCTGTCTGGAAGCCTTCGTGGAACGCCTTGGCAGCGCGGTGGGCCATCTGGAGACGACCGCGGGCGTCTGGGAGTGACTTTCTGGCGACTCGGAGGCGACTCAGTGTCTTTTTAGGGTATCCTGCAAGTGTCTTGGGGCGGCATTGGGGCCTCTTGGGAGCTCGGGGCGGCCCTGGGGGGAGCCTCTGAAACCGTCTTGAAGCGGGTGGTAGTGCTTCTGGGGCTGGGTTGGAGCGTCGGCAAGCCGAAAAGGTGGAAACCAGAAGAACATAAAAAACTCATGGGAAACCAATGGATGTTGCCTGTTGGGGCCTTCATGGGGGCAGTCTGGGCACCCTTTTGGGGCTTCTGGGGAGCAATTTGGGCCGTCTGGAAGCCTTCTTGGAGCGCGTCCGGGGCGTGGTGGGCCATCTGGAGACCACTGCCGGCGTCTGGGAGTGATTGGACGGCGCCCCAGAAGCGCCCCGAGAGCGCCGACTCGCATCTCGGGCACATTTAGGGCCCCCTGGACCGGCCATGCGGTGTCGAGGACCGGGCCCCGGGCCCGCAGGCCTCGTAGACGGGGCGGGGACACACACACACACATATATATATATATAGATGGATATTTATGTATATAGATATGCAAACTAATGTCTCTCTCTACATATATATATATATGTTGGCATGTGTAAACGAACATGCAGGTTTATATGTAGATGCAAGCGTCTATGTCGATGGAAGTACACATGTTTAGATTCATAAGCTTGTAACTACAGATGCATATGTCTATGCACATGTAATTGCATACGTATACGTATGTGTATAGGTATATGTATGCATCTGTGTGTGTACACACTTACATACATACATACACACATACATACATACACACAAACACAACCAATCACACATACATGCAAACATACATGCATACATTCGTACATACGTACACACATACATACATACATACATACACACATACATCCATCAACACATACATACATACACACAAACATACACACACTCATGTATACGTGCATACATACATACATACATACATACAGACATACAGACAGACATACGTACATCCATGATTACATACACATGCATACACATACATACAAACATACATACATGCATGCATGCATACATACATATATATCTATATATACACATATCAATTTGTATCCGCCACCGTGCCTCGAGGCACGGAATGTGCGTGTCCTCGGGCCCCTTCCTGTAGTCCCCAGCCCCTGGGAGGAGGATTAGAAGGCCTGGGTCCCAAATCCCCGGTTTCTCTAAGGCTTGGCGCGTGCCCCCTGGGGCTTGTCGCGTCCTGCCGCGTGACTCTTTCGGGCCCAAGAGGGCCCCAGAACGGGCCCAAAGGGCCCCATGAAGCCCCCAAGACGGTTCAAGGAGGCCACGAGCCTTCCTTCCTGAGGTCTCTCTCTCGTTCTCTCGCTCTTCTCTTTCATTCTCCCAAAATATGTATAGATACATACATATATATATATATATATATATGTATGTGTGTGTATATATATATATATAGATACACATATTTACATACACACAAGACAGCATTGGCGCTTCGCGCCATGCGCTTTGTTCCAGACCCTCCCTGGCAAAGCAGCAAATCATCGCTTGCTTCAGCGGGGGGGACCTCGAAGCCTAGACGGGCGACCGGCTCATTTTTCTGATACCCTTGGTGCCTGTTGACACCGCGTTCGCCCGATGCCCTTGCACGCTTGTGCGCAGGAGTGGGGAAATAATGATGTTTTTTTCACGCGCGAAGGTCCTTGGAGGAAGTAAAGAGCGTTCCCACGACACGCCGAAGAAGTCGCAGTAGCTCCGAACACATAGATTTTTGGTAGCTTCCTGAATGCCTGGGGGCTCCAGGCACTCAGGAAATCTTCGGTCGTCGAACTTCGAATCTAGATCCATTGCCTGTCTCTCTCGATCGAAGAACTTAAACCTCGAGCCTCAAGCGTGGAACCAAGGTCGTCGGGTCGGCTCGATGTACTTCGTTGGAAAACGCCGTCTGGGCGTTTTTCGGGCCTTTTCGGGCCGTCCTGGGGCCCTCTTGGGCCGTCCCGAGGCCTTCTTGGCCGTCTTGGGGAGCTGGGGCCCTCCAGAGGCCTTCTGAAGCCATCTAATGGCCTTCTTGGGGGTCTCCCATGGCTTTCGTGGGTCGATCTTGGGAGCCTTCTGGGGGCATCTTGGGCTTCTTGCGGGCAGTCTCGGGGCTCTCTGGGGCAGTCTTGGGGCCCTCTTGGGCCGTCTTCACACCTCTGGGGGTCCTCTTGGGCCTTCTTGGGGCGATATCGGGGGCCATCGGGTCGTCTTGGACGCTGCGAAATCCCAAACAGCGGATATGTTAAGCTTATTCGTTTTCGTGAGGGAATGGGACGATTTTGCTTCTTCGGGGCTCTCTTAACAGCTTCTTGGGGCGTCTTGGGGGCCTCTTGGGCCGTCTTCAGACCATCGAGGTTCCTCTTGGAGCGCTCTTATGCTGTCTTGGGTGGTCTCTCTTGCGCCTCTCCGATGACCCCTCTGATCGCCTTGAGTCTGCTCGCAAGGCGCGGCAAAGCGCCCTGGTGGGCTCGGAAGGGCAAGCGGACCTTTTCCAAGGGCGTCCAGGGGGCCGCTGAGACGTCCGAAAAGGCGTCCAGGGCGTCCCTGGGGGGGGGGTCCGGTTTAGGGGTGGGGGTGTGGGGGGGGTTCCGGGTAATAGAAATATAATAATAGGAATATGTCAGAATATCAAAGCCGGGGAACAATTCCGAAAAATTCTGAGAGGCTCACGAGAGCCCCCGAACGCCGAACGACAACCTGTCAACATCTTGCCGTCCTTCCTGGGGGTTGCGGCAAGCGCAAGAAGGGGGGATGGAGGCGGGTGTACCACCGACCTCAGCGCGCGCATGGGGATCCCGTGACTTTCTGGTCTTCACGCCCTCGAGCTACGCTGGTCGCGCAGCGGAGGGAGGAGAAGGGACCGCAGGGTCGGTAGCCGATGTCGTCTGGCGGGAGACGCGCCTCGCCGGGCGGACCACGCGTTGACGCTCATACCTCGGCGCGCGGGCCGTGCTTTTGGCACGGCGCCAGGCGCGAGCTCCCAAGCGCTGCTCTCGCGAATGCCACGAAGGCCGAACGCATTGAGTACCCAGACCCCCCCCCTTTGCGAACATGTGGCAGCGTGAGAAATCGGGGCTCCGCCGTCTTGTCGCCCGGCGCCAGCGTCAGCGCCTCGGCAGGGCGAGTCCCGTGCCGTGGCGGCCAGAGTGTCGGGCGCCGAATCAGCTCTCAGGCCCTTCTCTACCGGGCAGGAGGGGGAGAAGGCGTCGGATGAGGAAGGGCGGTTGACGGAGGAAGGGATACATAGGGGGAGGAGGAGGAGGAGAACGAGGAGGAGGAGGAGAGGGAGTAGGACGAGGAGGAAGAGGTCCAGTGTAAACCCAAGAGTCATCAACGATGTTGGAATACATCCTCCCTCCAAGCTTCCTCTTCATAAACACGGTTTAACGGTTCAATTCCACGGAGGCAGCTGCCTCATTGGAAGGCAGCCGTTCGAAGAGCTTGAAGCGTGCCAAAACATTACTCTGGGGACTCCAACGCCACATATCAACCTGAGTGTTGCGTCTTGACGATCCTGCATCGCACCAGAACGCCATTGCTGGGACATCAACACCGCGAATCAACGTAACTGTTGCGCCCTCATAATCATGAGCCTTTCCAAAACAAATTCTGGTATTTTGACCATGGCAACCCGTAACATGAAAAGGAATGTGCGCTGCGCTTGGGCGAAGACCACATTAAAACAACACTCGCCCTCAATCCGTGAAGCTCTTGTAGATTTCTGAAGCGAATGTACGAAACGCTGAAGCTGGAGCCACATCTTGAAAACGACCCGTCCTCAAGGTGTGAAGCTGTTGCAAGTGTTGAAAAAATGTGCGCGGCGCTAAGGCGAGATCCGCATTTTGAAAACGACCCGCCCTCCATCTGTGGAGCTGTTGTTAATTTGCCAGCTTTAGGGTCAGAAGTGGTGGGGATGTGTCAAACGAAACGCCTGGCCCGCCATTTCGACCCGCCTCGGAATGCGACAGGGAAAAGTTACGTATCAGGAAT